ACGTCTAAAATAAACGATTATAATTTACAAATCTAAAATACAAATTAAATCATATAAACATTTGATTTGTTTTGATGTGGTAGCATATACAAGCTGAATTAAACAATTTTGTATATTAAAATATGTTTTCAAAACTTTTATAGCACTTTTTCACTACAAAGTACCAGCTCGACTTCACTCGACTCGACTCTGTTTGGTTTTCCACTGTGTAAAAGTTGTACCTGTACCTGCTTTCAGGTACTTTTTTTAGTAACACCTCCGGCGAGGTTCTGAGCGAGCTAAGGCGAGCTAAATACTAAAATGTGACGTGAAAACAATGCCGACTGCTGATTGGTCAGAGAGAATCGTCACCATTCATTGCACGCGCCAGATGGAGAATAATCCAGAATAACTCTGCCATTTTTAAATAGTTTGGCCAGAGATAGTTACTAAACTTACTACTATTATTATGGCAACTCGGAAGAATACGCCGTGGTCAAACGGGGAGGTGAAGACTTCCCTTTGTTTGGTTGCCAAAGAGAGAATCCAGCGAGAGCTTGATGGGGCAACGAGGAACAAAAGGCGTTGCTATGATGAACAGGTACTATTTGGGGCGGTACTGTCTGCAATGGAAAACAGAGCAAAAAAGCGAGGCGAGTCGAGCTGGTACTGGTAATGGAAAAGCACCATTAGTCTCATTTTGTTTGTCTGTGGAAACTTTATGCGGCAATACTGAAAGAGGCTGGCAGACTCCCGGGTCGAGCACCAGCAGCATTTTGGAGACATATTCAATTCCATGATGCCTTGAGAAAACATGTATCAGCTCCAGTATAGACAGATAGAGCCAAAGCTCCAAGATAACATATTAATGTGCAGTACGGGACATCCCACATTCATGTACACAGTGTTTTGATCAACAGAACTGACAAGCAACAACTTATGTTTCAGATTTACCTTGCAGCAGCAAGCAAACAGTATCAAGCTCCAGTGCTGGCTCCTAGTTAACCTCAAATACACATCACACAACCCGGTGCTGCAGCCTTCTCTACCCAGGGCAGGTGAAATCCCCACCGGTCACAATTACCCAGCAAAGCACCTTCATCAAACATCCAGTGCCTGGGAGCACGTCTGATGTGCCACAGCCCTAATTCACTCCCACTCCAAACTACACTGACTGCATAGGGACCAAATAGCCATGAGCAAAAACATCTATCCATCCACGTCTCCCACATCTAACTTCGAAGGGAGGGAGTGGGATAATAGCGTTGTTTAGCCATTGCCATTTGGATTCAACTAGCAGGTGCTTTCGGCTTTTTCTAAAACCGTGGGAAACGTGAAATGTTTTATTCATGTTCTATGATAAAACTTTGCAAATGTACTGTGTGTGGTGTGCGTATTGACAAGGTTTAAATATAAAGAGCTCTCATCGCTCTTTTTCCACATTTCAGTGGCATAAAAAAAAGATTATTAACAAAGACTGACTTATGTAACCCAAGTGTTACAAAATGTGTCCACTCTGCACACACTTACATGATACTGCATTAATGTATCAACGTACCAATTACAAAGACAAATAAAGAAAATGCCCCATGTCCGATAAAAACAGGAGAGAATCTAAGAAAGCAAGAGTGGGTGACAGTTCAAGAGTCCCAGTTGCCAGGGAAGGTAGCTTTAGTGAGGAAAAATAAAATAAATCTTGTTTATTAAAGGAATGCATACACACAGCCTCCCTGCAGACTCTAAAGAAAGGGTTTCACAGAAAGACAGTACATCAACTTAAACCCTCCATGCTTCAATTTTGAAGTCCACAATTGTACAACACAACAATTCTAGCAGTACTTAAAAGATTTCAAGTTGAATAGACAGCATTTTTTTGCGATATGTCAATTACCTCAGATGTAATTTTACTCATCCCCTAGCTGAAAACAATTGTCTGCATCTAGAGGGTTTAAAGCAAAACAACTCATTTGTATTAACCCCTTAACCCCACAAGTTGGATGCTTGCCATTATATTTTTTAAACAATAATATCTTAGAAAAGGTAATATTGACAAACTATATATCATTTGAAAGCTTACAATCTCTAGTTTCCATATTTGGTGACTGATTTTCAAAATAAATTAAAGAGGAGTCGTAATTTATCAATTTGCAACAAGAATATTTTCATACTCATAAGGCGTGTTCAGACCTTTATTTTGAAATAGTGATGAACATGAAAAATCATGAAAAAAAGGTAGAAATCTCAGTTTGTTTTCATGACAAGAGTTCAAAAGATAGCATCCATTCAATTATTTTAGGAAAAAAAGCTCTGAAAATGTTTTCAATATAAAGAAAAAAGTAATAAATTCACCATGTGTGGCAGTGATCTAAGAAGCATATGCATGTTCTTTGTATGTGTTTCTTTGAGGTTGAATTCATTTCAAAATCTGCCAAACTTCCCATACTACTTCTGAATAGGATCTCTACTTCATAAATTGTATGAATTGAATTGTATGAAAATTGTGGAAATAATAGTTTAGATCACTCAAAACACATATGAAAATGGAGGTGCCCTTATATGGGCAGTAGTTGTGCCCTAGTGAAAAAGTTTGGTACTGCGCCCAAACAAAATCAAATCAATCCAAACAAAAATGAAAGCTCTTTTTTTTTTAGATATCAACATAAGATTTTAAACCTATTCAGATTTTTGGCTTTTTCTGCAGTTTTAGAGTAGCCCAGGTTTTGAAAATAAATATATATTTTATATAAAATATGAATAATTATTATTTTTTTACATTGTACATTTCCATAAACTCAAACTTCTATAACTTTTTTTGTTTCACTTTCTTTATTAATTTCACTTCTATAAAAAAAATCAAATCTGCCAAATGTCTTCTTTAAAACAAGACCAATCATACATCTATATTCCAAAGCATTCTTGAATTACAACCATTTAAGTTCAAAATGTGCATTTCCATGTCTATTAAAAAGGGGGGTGGGGGTGACAGTTAACAGGTTAAAGGTCTTACATTAAATAATATCCTCATAAGTGACTTAATGTACTTACATGTACAACTTACAATGTACACTGGTTAGTTGGTAATTCTTTCACAGTTGTCTCATGTTAACATATAATATTTATATATTTTCTATTTTCACTAATGGACATTATTTATTTTCTGTAGTAATCAGCATTATACATCAACTGTTGTAATCTAAGCTTACTTTGTATTGAACCTCAGAACATTCTTTAAACTACTACAATCCACTTAAAGAGCAGTGTAACTCAGGTTTCGGTTTTAGGGCCATTATGATTATTATTCTTTTAGTCTATTTCTCTAGTTTTTTTTTTTTTTTTTTTTTTTTTTTTGACAGGTGGGTATCGGTTAAGTCCGAACACTAATCAATTAGTAAATTAATGGGAATGATTTGAAGGAAGCAAGGGAAAAAAACAAACAAACTAAGTACCAAAAACAAACAAACAATCCAAACATTACCGATGGAAGATAGAAGGCAACTGCGTATTTCATCACGCCAGAGGATCCAATAATTAACATTCCCATTAATATTCCTTCCACAGAGCCCGGGTGGCTCTGAACGCTTCTGTGAAATGCAAATTGCTGTACACAGAGGCTTCAGAATGGGAACTGCGTGACTGCAGGGGAGGGCTGCCACTCTACAGCTCAAAAATTTTCAGGTACCTCATTGATGACAGGAGGGCAGGAGACACAGGAGGAAACTGGAACTTTGAGAAATACTCAACACAATTTTTCTGCATTATTTATCTAATCAAGTATAATTCAGTCAGCAAAAAATATTAAGGAGATCATAAGGACATACATCCTTATTTTCGTCAATGGTTTGGTACAATGATTGGTTTGACTTTCTGGAAAGGGACGAGGAGAAATACCTTTAAATAAATTGACCGTTGTGTTTCATAGTTTTCCTTTGCTGATCAATTCATCGAAAAACAAAAAAAAGGTGTATCTTCTATCTGAGGAGACAACATATTCTCATCCCAAGGCGTCAAATACGAGGCTTTTGCCAATGCGTAGACATCCAACGCACATGGCACCCTTTAGCGTCAATATAACACGCACAGAGTATGGGTAGGTTTAGGTCTGGGCTAGGGATAGGGTTAGACCACTAGGAGGCGCCTTCTGCCCCATATATATGGGTATAAAAAATACACCCCATATATAAAGGGTGCCATGTGTGTTGGATGTCTACGCATAGGCAAAAGCGTCAGCCTTAGGATGAGAACGGGCTGGAAGAGAACAATATCACCTTTTGTGCTGCAAAACTCAAAAAAGCAAGGTGTGCTATTAAAACCCAGAACTCCAGTTTACTGATGCACAGTGAGCAAGATACTAGATTAATTCCATGTTTCACATTATTGTAAACAGAGTTCTGTTATGAAGACATCAGTGTGCATCCCGAATACAAACATACTGACTTGAAACCAAATCAGGTGCATATTGATGTGTGCTTACAACAAACGCAAGCAAATCATCAGCATCATGCCAAAAAACCCGGTCTGCTTCGGGAAAGGATCATTATCTGAAAAACAACCCCATAGCTCATAAAAGCTGCAAGCTAAAGGATCTTGTGCTCCGGAGCGAGTAATCAACAGGAGGAGGACATGAAGTGTGTCTGGGGGAGAAAAGGATTGGTGAAAAGATGAGTTATGAGATGTGTGTGTGTGTGTGTGTATGTGTGTCTTTGTGTGTTTACAATTCCAGAGCTGAAAAGTGTGACTGTAGCGAAGATATTGATCAGAGCACAAACTCGTAATGATGGTAAAAAGAACTGGGTTCGGCGGGAAGCCCAGTCTTTTGTGGTGCCTAAGGAGTCAACAAAATTTCAAATGGAGAAAACTTCAAAGAGTGGAAAAGTAGTACTAAGTTGAGAACTGTAATGAAGTTAAAAGGACAGAAACTTTGTTTTTAATTTCTTATCAAACTCTAAACACCCCTCTATGAACCTTTTATGGGGTATTTACATTTTTTGGTTTGGATCAACATACGGTTTAGTCGTTCATACCTTGGGATCGGCAGTGAGGAGCTTGAAGGCCGCGTACACCTGATTCTCCTTTACACCTCCACCCAGGTCCAGGAAGTTAGCAGGCTTCCCACCATGCAAGTCGATGATGTCACATGTTGCCATAGCAAGGCCAGCACCATTAACTGTGGATACAGATCATTGTTCAGACATTAAAAATTAAAATCGCATCATCATTTCCTCACCCTCATGTCGTTCCAAACCTGTACGACTTTATCTTCATTGGAACACAAAAGGAGAAATTCTTAAAGGGTCACGAAACCCTCTTTCAGCTCAAGTCTAGCTCACAATCTTAATGTGCCAGTCACTCTTTTGTACACAATTACAAAGAATGGAGCCTTCATGCTTCAAAAAGCACATTCTGTAAATGCATAAACTTGCACACTATATTGCAATTCTTCGAAAGCTATGTGATACATTTGCAGTTTGAATAGATGGAAATGTAACTAGTTCTTACACTGATACCCAATGCGTTCAGTGAGTTCTATAAGTGAGATTTGTGAAAGAATCACAGGGACCAGTTTTGGGAATCGGATCAATTGATTCATCGAATAGACCAACCTCAAATGATTCAGAAATTGCTAACTCCCTCTGTCAACATTTTTAGTGAGCAACAATCTGTTCTTTACACATCACTAATCTATGGAGTCATATGAACTGTTACAAAACGTTTAACATTTCACAGCCCTAAAATCAACCTCATTATATTAAAAAGATTTTTCACTAAATTGCTAATTCTAATTATTAATGCAGTGTGAGAGAGAGAGAGAGAGAGAGAGAGAATAAGCGTATGTGAATCAGTCTCTGCGTCTCTCAACAGTGTTCGACAGCAGCCTTTCGAATAATAGCGTAACTAAGTTTATCTGCTCCAAGAATAGCGTCGTTATTACCACGCTAGGGAGAAATGTCATGTAGCTTTTAAGTTGTTAAACTATTTTAGTGATAAAATCGTAATAGCAGTGCTGACAACACGTTTCTGTGTGAGTGTGTCCATTTGAGAGAGAGAGAGAGAGATAAGAAGAGAGCATGTTTCATGTATATAATAAAATGCAATTTTGTGGGAAAAAACAGAGAAATTGGCGTCTTTATCATGCTGTTTACTATATTTATTTGTGTGTTTAGTGTCATTGTGAGTTTTGGTTCTTTTGCTGTTGTAGGCTGAAAGGACCTTTGAAATAACTGAAATCATTTGGTGAAGTGATACGGAACTGTAATGCGGTCAAGACCTGCCAGGAACTACTTTTCACTGAAAATAATTGCACACTTTAGAACGTTTTTCAACCAATCAGAATCAAGCATTCAGCTGCCCCGTAGTATAGCATTCAATAATATTTAATATTTATTCAATATATAGACCAGAATTCTTTTAAAAATGATGTTCCATGCAAGAAAAAAGTAATTTTTTTGATAAAGCTCATGGGCTTTAAACCCCCTGGGGACCCAGGTGTATTTGGGGTCTTTGACATGCCCTGACATTTGTGATTTTTTCAGTTGCTTATACATATATTAATGGCACAGGTAAAATTGCACTCTATTTAGCACAAACAGGGCTACCATAATATGTGAGCAACATGTATGTTTGTATTTTTGAGAGAATATTGTTTATGCATTATGCATGCATCCACGAGACTTTTGACTAATGGATGTTGTTGCCTAGAGTTTTTTTCTTCACAATGATCTGAAAATCATCCTGCCTAATCTTTCACATAAAACTGTGAATTCGGTTATATTGTGAAAAAAAACCCTTTTGCCAAGGCAATATGCGAATGGGCGTAAACAGGCCAGCCAGACAAAGACGCACATAATAATGAGCCTTTCATTCAGGTGAGTCAGACAAGAAAAAAATTGAAAGGACAACATACATACATATTTACATTATTTATATATATATATATATATATATATATATATATATTAGGGCTGTCAGTTTAACGCGTTATTAACGGCGTTAACGCAAACCCATTTTAACTGCGTTAATTTTTTTATCGCGCGATTAACAGTCTTTTTGTCTTAGCAAACTTTGTAGTTTTTTCACATGCTTTTGCAACAGGACACGGCATGTGTTAAGGATTCATTATTTTGATATGTGCATTGCATTAGCTTGCATTGTATAACAGCTGATAAGTTTATTTTTGACAAAACATACTATATATTTAACATATGAGCAGAAACTGTCTAACTAAAGCTTATTGGATGTCTATTGTATAGTAAAAACTTTATTATCTATTTCGTCTGTAACAGTAGGCTATGCATCTGTGCGTTTGTTCGTTCACACACCCGATTCATATTTAAACAGTATTTTGGTTTTAAAGATCAGTATAGAACAAATCTCAGTAGTCTATATATAGTCTTACTAATGCAGGAGCGAAAGTGAATGAACGCACCCTCTATAGTTTATAATCATAAATTGATTTTATTTATATGACGATTAATGACGGAGTGTTTTAAGTCTATGTATCAAAACGGGGATGTGTTAAGTTGCTTCCAAATCATGGACTCAAGTAACGTATATACATAGTACAGCCTTACCCCTACAGCACATTTACAAGAAAAGCAGAGGCAAAAGCAAATAAAAAAAGTAATTTGAGTTCCAACCCCATTGAAAACACAACTTAGGCTCTAAATCTGCTGGCCATTGCTTTCCAAGGAAAGCAAATTGCGTCTGGCTAAAACTATACGGGGTGTCAAGAGTGGTTGAAGTATCTGTGTTAGCCGGCCTGGTAAGCCCTATCTCGTGCTTGTAGTTGAACGGCAGCCAACTGATTCAGCCATTTCCTGCTCATCTCACCTCTCCTGGCTTCACACATCTCCTCTTATTCTGCTCTTCAGTGCTGAGCTAACGTGCTGGCACAGGCTTTGACACTAGACTCAATAAAGTGAAATTCAGCTGAACAGCTGTCGCTTTGCCAGTTTACAAAGCTTTTAAGGTGTGAGCTAACTGCGAGCAAATTGTGCGTGAGTGTGTTTGTGTCTACACGACAAGGTCAGTTAGAGTCACTTCTGCGCTCGTCTTGTCTATACGGCTCTTTCTTGGTGCTTTACTCTGAGAGCGGCTTGATTTATAATGAGGGACCACTCAAATGTGTAGACTAACAATCATCTTGGTTGAGTCGTTTTCCGGAAGATTCCTGCTAATTAGAGCCCATCGGTTCAGACAGGTCCCTTACGGAGCTGTTAGAGAACTGCTGGAGATGATGACTGGATTGATGCCCATTTGGTAACACCTTCAACAAAATCCTGTTTCTCAAGACTAAAATAAAAGTGATTGAAACTACTAAGAAGAGCATGTCTAAAGCTGGATTTGAAATATCCCTTGAGACACGGGCGTGATGTGGAACAGGTTTCTGAAACCTTTGAAATTTGAATGTTTTGAAGAAGTTCATCTGGTATGTCTTTTATCATTTTATAATAACAAGCTAATGTATATAGGGGACATTAAAACAAACCAAAACAAGCTATGTTTCCGTCCAGTCCGATGTACTTGAGGTCATATTTGGCCGCCTCGGTCTCCGTGGGGTCGCTCTCCGCTGTGTCGTCCATGGCGAACACGGCTTTCTGTCGGAACTCAGCGTTGTCGTCAAAGTTGATTTTAGCATCGAAGCAAACGACTGTGGACAGACAGCAGAAATGTGCTTCCTTGATTATGTGGGAATATAGCAAGAAGATATCATATCACATTTTCTAAGTAACTGTGAGTGCTCTTCTGAATAATAATCATAATAATAAACATAAACCATGCATCAAGACGATGTATCTTTCCAATGGCTTTTCAAAGCATCTGTTATTTTTTTCAAATATGGGGAGTTGATGCATACATGTAATCAAAGCCATATAGATCTAATTACAAATGTGTGTTATTTTGACACGATCTTCACTGACATCATATATACATCTATATATCTCATTTCATACAGCAGTACTATCTTATTCAACAAACACAGATGCTGTATAAGAAAATTAGCTCTTTTTGCGACTATCGTCACTGTGTGTGACCAGACCTAGCATCTCTGTCATTTGTAGTGTTGTGAATTCTCTCACTGTCTCCAGAGTCTGCAAGGACCCAGAACTCACTAACAGATATAATCTCTGTAGGGAAGTACACTGGGTTCACTGACCTCCTATCAAACTCAACTGTACACTGTTACCAGGGGATTTTTGTTATTTACTTTTGCAGTCAAGCCAACCAGACAGTAACAAAGAACTAGATCAGTTTCACCATCGCACAAGCTGACAAAACAGTGTCACAGCTGTTTTTTTTAATGAAAGCATGCAGCTTGACGATATGTTTGAAAGTACTTTAAGTAGGGGAGACAGTTTTTGACAAATAAAAAAAATAAAAAGAGAACAAACAATGCATCTTAAGACAGCCAAAGCAATTTGAAGACTTTTGTTTTCAGGTTGCTGGAATGTCAGTGTCAGAGTAGTGTTTCCTAAAAAGCTCTATTATGATTTTACAGAAAAAAAAAAAGAAAAAAAACTAACAAACTTAAATTAGCAAAAAAGAAATGCTTGAAAAAGACACACACATACAAAGAAACAGAAATACAAAAGACTAAAGACCAATAGAGAAATGTGTAAAAAAATAAAATATAACATAAAACAGTAACACCTTTTTTTTAAATAATATTTATATGAAGGCATTTATTAATCCTTGTTAATGCAAATTAATAAACATTATACTACAAAAGAATATGAAAGGAAATAAAAGAGAAGGACAAGACAGGACAAGAGAGGACAGGAAAGGAAAGGAAAGGAAAGGAAAGGAAAGGAAAGGAAAGGAAAGGAAAAAAGGAAAAAAAGAAAGGAAAGGAAAGGAAAGGACAGGACAGAGCAGGAAAGGAAATGAAAGGAAAGGAAAGAGAAGGACAGGACAGAGCAGGAAAGGAAAGGAAAGGAAAGGAAATGAAAGGAAAGAGCAGAGCAGGAAATGAAAGGAAATGAAGGAAAGGACAGGACAGGACAGGACAGGACAGGAAAGGAAAGGACAGGACAGAGCAGGAAAAGGAAATGACAGGAAAGGAAAGCAAAGGAAAGGAAAGGAAAGGAAAGAGAAGGAAATGACAGGACAGAGCAGGAAAGGAAAGGAAAGGAAAGAGAAGAGAAGGACAGGACAGAGCAGGAAAGGAAAAGAAAGAGCAGAGCAGGAAATGAAAGGAAAGGAAGAAAAGGACAGGAAAGGACAGGAAAGGAAAGAGCAGGAAAGGAAAGGGAAAAAAAGGAAAAGAAAGGAAAGGACAGGACAGAGCAGGAAAGGAAAGGGAAGGAAAGGAAAGAGAAGGACAGGACAGACCAGGAAAGGAAAGGAAAGAAAAGGAAAGGAAAGAGCAGGAATTGAAAGGAAAGGAAGGAAAGGACAGGAAAGGACAGGAAAGGAAAGAACAGGAAAGGAAAAGAAAGGACAGGAAGGAAAATGAAAGGAGGAATAGAAAAAGTACAGAGAAAGTGGCAGCACTTTTGTGACGGCCCCTATGAGGACTGAATCATTTTGCCATTATGATGTAGGGCCGGGATGATTTCTCTCCCCTTCTTTAATTTGACAGGCTAATACTGCAGGCATTACCCTCTCTGGACCTGCTGTATGTAATTTCATACCAATAAACGTTACAACATCCTACATCATTTCCTAACAGGTACCTATAAAAACAAAAAAACAAAAGTGGAAATGGTATTGGAAGTAGCATTTGGTCATATTATGAACATATTTGTGCCAGTGTTACGTTGGTAAAGTTTTGCTGAGGCAGCCCTCTACATATCCATGTGTTTAATATAACCATTAGAATGAAATGACATTTATCCTTGGAAGCTGCAAGGTCTTATTTGGATCTTTAAAGGAGCTCTTATGCAATCTGTGAGCAAGCGTTTCTGTCTGTCATTCATGCATGACTGCCCACCCACACACACACACACACACACACGCCTTACCTTGTCCCTCAGGTGTTTCTCCGAGTGGATTGACTTCGACTTGAGTGGCGTCGACTTTGAGGAACAGATCATAGAGTCGTTTAATCTGATCTGCAGCCTGTGACAGAACCACAGAGAGAACGAATTACCCCAGATGCACATTTGCAGAAAAGCTCTGAGAGCTTATATAAGCCTTTTGGAATCTTGAAAGCGAAAAAAACCAACAACAAAACAAACATATTTCTACATCCTTCTTTGGGTCGTTTACTGTACACTGTGCAATAATGAGGATGCATCTTTCACCGAACCCTCACTCTGCTGGTCAGAACGTACTCTGGGTCACTGCCAAGACAGAGAAGTTGCCTTGGAAAACTTCAAATGTGACAGAAATTGATTTGGAGTCGGTAGAGCCAGCAGGGAGTTGAGTCGCAGTGGAAGTTAATGTCATCCGTGCTGAGACACACGACAATGTCCAGCGGCTTTCTCCAATTCTCTAAGTACATGAGGCTTACGACAATTGGGGACATTTTTAAAATGGCTATTGAGATTCCAGACTTTGCGAGCTGTATTAGATTCTGTAATACTTTAAATTTGTAGATGATTTCGTATTTTCTTCTTTCGTAACAATCTCACTCTACAATTTACCGTTTCCTCATTTTTGTAATGTTTCCGTAAATTCTGTAACTTTCCGTACTTTTATAACACTTTCATTAAACGTTTCATAAAATTTTTGCATTCTGTCATTTTGTGACACTTTCATAGATGATATTTCGTCCTTTAGTAAAAATAATTTTGATTTTGCAATGCCTTATTATCATATTTGATATGTTTGTGACTCAACATAATATTTCATACTTTTGTAACACTTTGTGATTTTACACACTTTGAAAGATTTTAAAACACTCTTGCAAAAATTTTATAGATTTCATACATCCACAAAAAGATCAAACCGTTTCATTTGTCATAGATTTCTTAATATTTCATGTCTTTGTAACACGGTCATGGACAATTATGAAGTACTTCTGAATTTCATCTTTTTGTTGCAATTTTCATTTCTTAATACTTTAATAGTTTCTAATATCTCATACTTTTGCAACACTATCAAGAAGCATTTCATTATGCTTCCATACTCTCTTTGTAAGATACATTTTCAACATTTTTTTTAATTCAAATTCAAATACTTCCATATATTTAGTATACTTCCATATACTTTTGTAACACTTCAGTGAAAATTGATTTAAAGTTTTCATATTCTGTACTCTTGCAGATCATTCATTCATTCATGACTTTATATCTCACAATTCTGACTTTACATCTCGCAATTCCGAGAAATAAAGTCAGAATTGCAAGATGTAAACTCACAATTGTGAGAAAAAAATTCAGAATTGTGAGATAAAAAGTCGCAATTACCTTTTTTATTTTTTCATTCTATGGCGGTAACAAGCTTCCATACAAATAGGCTTTCATGGTCTTCCAAAATTCCCCAAAATCAAAAGAGTTAACCGTTATTACATGTAAAGTGTGTTTAAATCTATCTACAGTCAGTAATCTGTTTATTCTTTTCATTAATAAAAGCAGCCCCAATCATTCCACAACAGCTAAGGTTTGAAGAGAGGTTAAGACAGGAAAGATAACCAACTGCTTATCGCTCTACACTTTGCCATCTCATGTGCTTTCTTAAAGCACGTCAACCGAACAAATTCTCCTTTCAAAGCATTTAAGAGCTGATATGACATATCCCTTTCCCACAGCCAAAGGAAGCTCTTTTGATAATGAGCGCATTCTGACAGAAAACACTGTAGCGCTGCTCTCATCAGCACGCACAGGCGAGCGCCGGCTCTTTGTCATATCACTGCACTTCAAAGTGGAGAAGCCAAGTCAACGTTATGCCGCATCCCAAACATTCTAATTAGCATCGACTCAAATGGATGCTCGCAAAAGACGCGCAGTAAAGGGCCGACTTTATGAGAAACAAACTGACAAGCTAGACATTTAGCAGTAATTTCCATACCGCCAACAAACTCAAATGTCTATGCGGAGAGAAATATACGCTTGTATTCACAATTATGACATGAACTAAAGCAGATTCCTTTAAAGTGCTTAGCGTGAATGGACCTGAGCAGTTACAATCTTTAGCTGGCAAATTTTGAAAGGAGGTGAGGTTTATTTAAAAAACGTGCCCCTACAACATTAAACAGCTGTCCCCATAAAATTTTGTCAACACTAAAAATAAAAATATATGACCGTATTTCCATATTTTACCTGCTTTCAGTTCAACAATGTCTTACCATCTCTGGTGGGTTTTATAAAAAATATATTTAGAATTACACAAAAATTATACATTTATGTACAGTATATATGTATGTTTGTATACAGTCACAAAAATGGGTCATGGCTGTCCCAGTTCCCTTTCCTGAACCCTATAGAAAACTGAAGAGGAGAGTAACAACATGGACTTGCGAATTTTAAGAATCTGGAGATGTCTTTTCAGGTAGTCAAAAGGAGGTTGCAAAAAAGTATTGAATAAAAGGGTGCCATTAATGGTGGCCAACGTGTATTGGAGAAAAACATTTATTTCAAAAAGAGATTGAAGATTGAAGAGATTCTCTAAAAAAAGATTCTTGTGAATTTTTTAGAATAAAAGATCAAAAAGATTAACAATGCAGATTTATTTTCCCAGGCTTCTTTGTTTATATTTACCAAGGGTGCCAATAATTCTGACTATGACTATATGTATGTGTGTATATGTATTACATAAATAAATACATACATACACAAATTATAACAGATTGACCCGAAAATCTTTGGATATACCTATATAGACACATATTTAGTATGTGTTTTGTGGCTTTATTTATATTTTTAGTTTTTACAATAACCACGCATAAACAATATTCTCTCAAAAATACAAACATGTACATACATGTTGCTCATATATTATGGTAGCCCTGTTTCTGCTAAATATAGTGTGAATTCACCTGTGCCATTAATGTGTTTACAAGCAACTGAAAAAAAGTACAAATGTCAGGGCATGTCAGAACATCTCAAGGACCCCAAAAACACCTTGGTCCTCAGAGGGTTAAACCATCCTGCAATCTTAGTTTGTTCATTCAAGCGAATGCAAGATTCATCAATATATTTGCCTTTATTTTTGTATCTGAATAGTGAAAATATGGAAGACAATACATAATCTACTGTGCTAGAGTCACTCTGAGAGGCCTGAGGGTAAATGTCTTTAAATCTTCAACTTATCGTTGCCACAAAACTGGGCCCTTTTTATAAGTGGCGGTTTATGTGATCGATGTAACGACACAAATTGTTGATGACCGGTGATTTCTGCTCAGGCCTAAACACGTATAAGTAATGTTTAATGACTGTATTGGCAGAGTCATCATGTCCAGTACTCTCACTTTTTTTCCCCATGACAGAAATTGAGACATAGTGGACGGGGGGAAGGTGAGGTGAGGTGAGGTGAAGTGAGGGCCACTGTGCTTCTGTTCCGACACACACACTCTAATGGCACAATCTCTTCGGCAGCGATTCAGGCCAAACCCATTACCTGTCTCTCCAATGGTCCTTTGAATCCCAAATTAGCTGCCATACGTAGCGCCTGGTCGTCTCGAACCCCTTCGAATATATCTATGACTTCCTGAGGCAAGAGATGGGAGAGAGAAGACAAGAGGAAAAACAACCATCAGCTATAATTTGACACAAAGAGGATGTTCATATTAAAATAAAGAGAACTGCAATTAAGCGCTGGCATGCAGCCAACCTCAAACGAGAAAAAGACGAGAGCTGGAGAACAATGGCTTACAATGGCTTTCCAATTATAAGGCCATCTCTAAAAGATCACTTATACACAGAAATAGACACACAAAAGAAAGATAACGCATGAGACCAGATGTCTCTAAGAGCTACAAGAATGAGACACAGCTTTTACATGTCTTAAATGATGAAGACGTCCATTACAGGGGACATATCGAACATATTGCATCTCTTTTTTAATCATATTATTTTTATTTGTGGTTTACTTGTAAGGGTAGGCATGTTTTTGTTTTGTTTTTTAAGTATCCACTCTCTTGAGATTTAGAAATAAACCCTTTGTTTTGTTGAGGCTTTGCATTTAAGACTTGTGTGTGTAAACACAAGGGTATGCATCCTTTTTGACAAATTAATTTCCATGACATTTTGATGGCTTTAGTTGTTGAATAATAAAAATGTAAAATAATACATCACTATTAATATATAATATATATATTAATATTGTAGTAATTTGTGATACTTCTACAGATTTTTTAATATTTCATAATTTGTAACACTTTAGTGAGTTTTAAAACACGTATATGCCATATGTCCATAAACCACTTCATATTTTTACACTTTTGAAACCAGTTTTGAAGATTTTATTATACTTTCATATTTCCTACATTTATAATATGTCCAGCTATTTAAAAATATGTCTACATTTGGTAACACATTCATGAATCATTACATAATGCTTTCGTACACTGTAACATACAATTTTCATATTTTGATTTTATGTAACAGTTTTGTAGATTTTGTAGTACTTTTGTGTTTCATACAGTTCATATATATATATATATGTGTGTGTGTGTGTGTGTGTGTGTGTGTACTCTTGCAAAACATTGCAGAATTTACATTTCATCCATTTTTCACAATATTTCATACTTTTGTAATATTTTCATGGTAGATTTCATAATAGATTAATACATAAATATCTTTATAGGGATAAACTAAATTTGTAAGTGTATAAACAAAAAAAGGCATTTTGTACAAAAGAGAAAAAAAAGAGAAAAACAACATGTGATTTAAATGCACAGTGAAGATTTGAGGATTTTTGGCTTTATCCTATATATATATATATATAACATTCTTCTATCTTTATAAATCTATTTCTATAAATATATTTATGTGGCTTTTTTCTATAAGGAAGTTTCGTTCGAAACGTCAAGAAGAAAATACAACCCTTCAGTAAAAAAATCTCAAAGAAACTCAACTCCTACACCCTTGAAATCTTTTTCAGTCAAGTATATAAGTGAGATACCTTGAAGATGAGCTCTGGTGTGGTTGCAGCCACTTCCTCTATGTCCACACCACCCTGAGGGCTTCCGACCATCACTGGTCCATTAAAGGAGCGGTCCATCAGGATGGCGAAATATGTTTCCCTGGAGATATCCAGAGCTTCTGCAACCATCACCTGCTCAGCACAAACACATCCACCAGGTGAGATGGCGATTCATCATTTTGTGTCATCTATTCATTGTGGTGTATCAACAGATACTGGTTTTTTGAAGCAGGGCACAAGTTTAGTGGCTGCAGGCCACTGCTGCTACCTCTAATGCAAGATAATCAGCCATCATTAAACTCAATGAGAGATGGCAAGTGGATAAGGAGAGAACCACCAATAACAGGGTTGAAATAACTAATAAAAATGGAGGAGTGATGGAAAGGAAGTGACACAAAAGAAAATGAGGGAAGGATGGATGAAGAAAAGCAAGGGAAGACAGAGGTGTGGTGTAGGTGTTTGTAGGCTTGATTTTCGCCCGCAACTCAGTACAATCTTATTTCCCCTTGGAAACATGCTTTCTCACCATTAGGTTTGTGTCGCCTCTACACTGTGAAATAAAAGGCGCAAAGACTAAAAACAAAAAAACACACATAAAATTATTGATTAAATAAATTTAAGACACAGAATGAAAGTTTCGCCGCTAGAGGTCGCGTATTTAAAACAATAAACAAATAGCGAATGCTAATGAGAGAAACCTGCACAAAACACCGGCCTTGAGTTCCACTGAGGATATAAGGAGGAAAGACGGCAGTGAAGGGTGCGAGAGAACCCGGCCTGGGACATTTTACGTTGCTGTATTTATTACACTTATATGTTGTAGTTGTCCGCTGCTGCTTCTTTCATTGTGTTGTTTGTCTATAGTTAACGTTTGCTGGTTCCCACCTCCTTTCCTGAACCTGAAATTTCATAAGTAACAGACTAGAGCCCGACCGATAAAGGATTTTGAAGGCCGATACCGATACAAATATTTGTTGGTTTTAAAATCCGATATTTCGGCCGATATTTTTTTTTTCTTTCCCAGAAACACGCAACAATACATTAACAGATTTCCCTAACATTCGTTATTTGTAGTTATTTATGAGTTTTAAATAAAATAATATGATAATGCATTTTAAAAAGAAACTTGTTTCTTTTATTGTCACAACAGAACAGAGGAACATTAAATATATTAAAGTTCTGATAAATAAAAAAAGAATTAGTCCTGCAAACTAGATCAGCAGGTTGCAGGATGTGAAGCGCGTTATACACGAGTGTTGCCAACAGGGACGGTGCAGAGTGCCCTCTGGTGGACAAACTATACAACTCCAACACACAACTTCATGGTTGAAGCGTGTTTCGTCCGTTTTTATTTTATTTTTGAAAAATTCATTTATCGGCCATTATAACTGCCGATACCGATGGTTTGGAAAATGCCTAATATCGGCCTGCCGATAAATCGGTCTGGCTCTATAACAGACTATTTCAATCAATCAGTGGTGTTATCTGCCATTCATATTAATGATTACCCATGGAGAAACATGGTTTCTTACCATCAGGTTTCTGTCGCTTCTTCACTGTCAAGTAAACATACAAAGGCTACAAGCAAAACAAAACAAAACCAAAACAAACAGGATGTTAGGGAGACTATGTGTAATTGCAAAAATATTTGCCTTGAGTTTAAAGAGGTACTTCACCACTGATCATAGATATATTCAGAGATGATAAACAAGATGTTACAGAATAATAATTTATTGAAAACCCAAATTTGACAATAAACTGACATTCAATCTATTTTTCGACTTTACTGAAAATGTACAACCGCGACATCCGATGGGTTTTCCCAGATCGCATCACTAAAGATAGATGCATAGATAACATTTTCAGTGATAAACCTACTCTTAAAATAACTGTTTTAATAACCCTCTGTCGATCTGACTGTCTGTGGGTGGGGACACAAAAACACGTTTTATAACCAGTATAAACGGTACTTTTCACGAACGCCCTGTAGCTGTCCAAAGTTTGATGCATTCTGCACCATGGTCTGGACTTTTACTGACAAATAATCATGAATTTCTCAGTCCAGGTAGCACAGAGAACAAATGACTTTTGCTTAAACATACACGCCACTTTCGAGTCAAGTGGCGTGTTATCACTACGCATTTTGAGCTATCCGCGTGTATGCGTGTATGTCTACGCCATTATTGTCTGAGTGATTCCGCATGTCTGTACACACCGTCAAATGTCCGAGCGAAACGAGGATGGTAGGGGAAAACTCATGAATGCCATTAACCCCAGTGACGGGTAGGTTTAGGGACAGGGTTGAGGTAAGTCATATATTTATATATACAGTAATAACGTTAAGTCAACCGCATTCATAAGAACGCTGAAAAGCGATTATGCGTGTTGATAGCACGCCAAAAATGGAAATAAGAATTGGCATGTCATACACGCTACTTCATGAGATCAGACTGGTTCATTTACTACCGACATTGAAAAGTTGAAAATCGGTGAATTTACACTTTAAATCATGGATGTAATCTGTCATTGTATAACGTTTAACCAACAGACTAGAAACAGAATTATAATGAAAACTTACATACTGGCATTGAACATTTGACACATGTTGAACATTTCACACCAAGTGAAAAAGAGGGAAAAAAACAAACAAACAAACAAACAAGAACTGTACTGGAGCATGTGTTGAAAGTGTCATGACTACCCTACATTCCAATCTCCAGCACTTATGTCCATTTTTATCCTTTTCAGCTTGTGAAGGAGGCAACAAGAGAGGCAAACATTTGCACTCTCTGTTCATTCTATTTCCTACATCATCCCTCCATATTTTTTTTTATCTTTTGCTCTATTTCTATGCTTCTTAGTCTATTACAGCAGAAAAGACAGAGAAGGCCAACAAGACCCGAGTGAAACACGGCACACAAATGCAGAGTCCTGATGGCACACTGCCTGAGATTGAAAACACAATGATATCCTTTTAACACAAGTCATATTCAAACTCTCATCCATATTCAACCCCCTATAGGGCTGAGAACTATAAAGGAAAACTCTATTTAATACATATTTTGGTAAGGTGGTTTACTGCTTTCTTTTTTTTTTTTTTTTTGTGTGTGTTTATGGGGTGCAATATAATTGTTTTTTTTAAAGCCTTATTTTTCATAAATTTCACTTTTATTGTAAGCCGCTTTGTCCTGTCATTTGAAAGACCGGTTGACTTCCTGAGTCTATAAAAACCACTCCCTCAGAAACAGGCAATGGGCTCAGATTGGTCAGTTTGGGCTGGTGTGTTAAACTGCGTAGCGCATGTTGTTCGGAAACTTCACGCCCATTACCTTTACAGGCGGAAGTTGCATATGCTGCGGTCGATGTAAATAATGGCGTCGATACTGCTGTATCAGTATGAGCCAGAATCAGAAATAGCATAACTAAGTGGCTACTAAAACCAGCACAGACATTTGTTTACGTCCTTGATACCTACGACTTTGATAACTAAAACATTACGTCAGAAATTCTACACGCAAATACATTTAAAATGATTAAGTCTTACTTACAGGTTGTGGCCCAAAAACTGCTGCCTCTGCTTTTAAAGTTGGAACTGATTCATGCTTTAGTAACAGTTTCTTGTTGAATCCGGCATTGAATTCGTGGAGATTCTGGAAGCGGTCTTCCGTAAATGCGCAGGACAGAGGGCTAAATTACTTTTTTAACTTTCTGGAACATAATCAAACATGAATTTAGGAGGCCCGAACACAGAAGACGCGACAGCTGGGTGAAAATAACACACTCCACTAGAACTCTTCCTCTTCAACAAAGCCGCAGAAATATGGCCATAACCCCTTTTTTGCCTATTCCAGAGGGAGAGTTGATGTAAATTTATGGGTGAGTTATGTATAAAACCTGGGAAGTATCTCATTGTAGTCCCATTCCAGTCGTTTTTGTAGGCATAAAACTTCCAGATTTTTAAAAGCCGATATATCTCTGCTAACGTCGAACTTTCAGCGCTGCAACTTTGCAGATACTGTTTATGCACCAGCAGCAACATTACACACTATTTAAAATGAAAAAGTGATATCGCAATCAACTACCCCTTTAATATTTATGTATGTATTTCCAATCTGAATTTGAAAACTTTTAAACGGTTGCATAATACATTGTACTTTGTTTACATACTGTATATACTAGCCTTTTTGATATTTGCAATGTGCAATTGTATCACAAGCAAACTTTTCACTCATATATTGCTACGATTAAGTAGAACAACAACTTCTGATGGCTTAGAGAAGGGCACAAATTTTACAAAACATATTTTCTTCTCAATAAACCGATACTGAATTCTGAATTCATGAGGAAAACCTCATTATACAATAACGCATCCATGTGAGAAGGAAACCAGAGGGCTCTTGAATAGCAAATGTGACACGCTCTCAAATGCAGTGAGAGAAGTTTGTGGGGGGATGCCGCACGCTCGAGCTGGCATTTTTAAAGCATTTGTTTATTTTTTGTTTGTATCCCACCTCTGTTCCTCCTCACCACCTCCCTTATGAATCTGTCCTACTCTTTCAGCCGTGCACTTCCACCCCCCATGGCAGTTTCTCAAGCAGGAAAACGCTAAAAATGTGATGGCGTCCTTGTGCAGAAAGTTTTTTGGCGGTCGCGTGAGAGAGGTTGACGGGAGTAAAAGCGAGTGATGATGGGGAGCTCTAAGTTGTGTTTAAAGAAGAGAGGACAAACACATGCTAAGCGCAGGACCATCATTACCTCCTGAGGAGAGGGAGATAAACAGTGACAAACATACGGGGTGGTTGTAGGAGAACGCCATCTGTGTGGGTGTCAGGCATAGAGAGAAGCAGAGAAAGAGGGGAGAAAATTATATTTCTTCTAGTTAGAGGCACATGGAAATGCCTGTTTACCAACATCCCCTGCACACCGAGATCTGACTCAAATGGTTTATTCATCTCAATGACCTATGACACAAAACCTAAGCTAATTGTAAAAGAAGGCCTTTTAAAAATAGAGCATATTCAAATGGAACAAGATGATACAGCTTTCCTGAAGTCAAGAAGTCAAAGGAGAGTAGAGAGGAGAGAGAGAGAGAGAGAGAGAGAGAGAGAGAGAGAGAGAGAGAGAGAGAGAGAGAGAGAGAGAGAGAGAGAGAGAGAGAGAGAGAGAGAGAGAGAGAGAGAGAGAGAGAGAGAGAGAGAATTTCACTTCCAAGTTCAAAAGCGATTATGTATTCAGTGGAAACAACATTAAAAAGAAAAAATTATGCCTGAGATAAACAAGGTGCTCTCCTCCGTACCGTTTTTACTTTCACTCCTTCCTTAGGGGTTTGTTTGGTGGTCAGATTAAAGCCGAGCATCTTACCAGCCAACTCTCCAACAACAGCAGGACTGAAACAGAGATATGTTTATCATTTTAATTTACTACAGTACAACTGTTTCATGCAACTTTCAAATGACAAATTCTTCTAATATATGTATCTGTAGACATTAGTGTTGGACCATCATTTATAGCACGCATAACATCAAATAAGTGCAATAAGCTTTGCGATTAGTTACTTTTGGTAGGAAACGAAGTCTTTCAAATTCTGTCAATTTTATAATGAAATTCAAACAATAAATATGATTTTGCGATCTTTAGATGTGGCATGATAGATCGATGTTGAACGTGGGTCTTTCATTTCTTCCCATGTATACTAGTTAAACATGAATGAACATCAGAAGGTACGTTGAAAGATAAAGTATAACTTATTGAAATGTTTCATGCCTCATATAAGCGCTGAGTTTTTTGTTTTTTTTAAGTTTCAAACTTGGGGAGCATTTCGCTAAATATATGCACTATTAAATATTCACTATATATTTTTTTATAATTATCTAAGATAATGAGATTTATATTATCTTCATGTTAATTATAATTATATCATTAAAAAGTTGATATAATTTTTAAATATTATATACTATATTATAACTTAGTTTTTACTTGAGTGTTCATTATTAAAAACATGATTAATTGATTATTTCATACTGTAAAGTATTTTTGGTTTCAGTTTTCATGCTAAAAGTCCCTGCAAAGTCAAAATTAAGTATGTGTTCTGAGTTTGTCACACCACAGAAAAATGTGTTATCAGCCACCCAGCCAAATTTTAATCATAAAAAAGTTTATCGGCAAGTACTTAAAATAAGCTATCAAAATCTTGGAGAAAATAAGCATTATTCTCTGCTCTTAAACACTGGGGGCGCAACTGAGCGCCAAACTGATGCGAATTTACTCTATTATTAGGGGAGGGGCCAGCCTCAGTGGCTTCGGTGTGTCATCAAGTAGGGGCGTTTCCACAAGCTCAGGGGCTCCAGTGCATCATCAAGCCCTGTTTTAGTCCAGCCAAAAAAATCCGGAAAGTAGCAATCGTGAAAAACTGTTTAACGGTCTAACTCCACAATTCAGTACTTCACAGTCTTTGTAATATGTTTTAGCAATACATTTCTAACATTTATAATGTGTTTAGATTTTTTTTTAGAATTGCCTTTACAGGGACTTTAACTTTAATTTTGATTTCAGTGTTTCAGTAAAAAGAAAAAAAAAACTGTTGCATCATTAATAAATATAACTCTGTTTTCTAATGGTGCGTTCACACCGGATGCAAATAGCGCATCAGGCGCGAGTGATTTCAATGTTAAGTCAATGCAAAGACACGTTACGCGCGAATGATTTAGTTAGTGCTATTTGTGCATTCAGCGTTTAATGCAAATTCGCACCTGCCGCCCGAGTTGAAAAATCTGAACTTTGGCGTCAATTTGCGCCGCGTTAACCAATCAGCAGCCTAGCTGTTTGCTCATGTGGTGAAGTATCTGGATGCTTCAATAAATTATTTTGTAATATGACTAATGCCTGGTGTGGTTGTAATGCACAACAAAGCAAATATTTTATCACTTAAAACTTTATTTCAATATAAGAGACATGTTCATTTTGTATTAAATGTTATTTATTCCATATCTAGATTATATGAAATATTATTATAATGTAAAGACAACCAACAACATACATGCCTACATGTGCATAAGTTCGTGTCTGGATGTGAGAGAGAAAAAAAAAGTCACAGGAAAGGTTAATAACTTTCGGAGGCTGGCTCTATTTATCATCAAAACAAAAATAAATGACAGATTAGGTGGATGAGGGCGAAGATGATCCACGCTCGCTTCGATGCGGGACAACAGGTCGTCAACTGGGCACGGTACAGGCAGAAGTACCTCTGACTGCGGCCGTCATCCAGCGCAGTTCCTGGAGCGAGCAAATTGTGAAACTCGCCAAACGGTTCGCCTCCGAAGGGTCCGGAGGACACAAATACGGCGACGATGATCCTTTCGCTGCTGTTCTGCGCTCCAAAGCAAATACAGAGCAGTGACTTTCTCGATGAATGCTCGATCAACATAAAAAAGACGGCCGCCAACGGGTTTCGAATTCTGATGCGCGAAGTGTGTAAATTTCGCTTCAAACTTTTGTTTTTACACGCGTCAATTTCGCTCTTGACGCGCGAATTCTAAGTAGAGCCCGACCGATAAAGGATTTTGAAGGCCGATACCGATCCAAATATTTGTCTGTTTTAAAATCCGATAGTCCGATATATCGGCCGATATTTGTAATTTGTTTTTTGTTTTTTTTATTTCAGAAATGCGCAACAAAATATTAACAGATTTCCCTAACATTAGTTATTTGTAGTTATTTATGAGTTTTAACTAAAATAATATGATGATGCATTTTAAAAAGAAACTTGTTTCTTTTATTGTCACAACAGAACAGAGTTGCATCAAAATATATTAAAGCAATTCGCGTCTGGTGTGAACGCACAGTAGGAATACTTCTCACTGTTTGGGGTGAGGGACAAATATGTTTATTTATTTTGGCTCTCACAAAAACTACAAAATAAACAATCACTTTTTTTGTAGAGAGTACATTTGAAACTTTTTAGAATAGCATTATTAATAAAAGAATTCTATTAATTTATACATCAAACTAATTTTTTACAGAGTGAATATGTATTTTTAATTACACGTCATTTGAACAACCAGTCAGTAACAGACTGATGTAAGTCTCTCAAACCTAAAATATACATCACACAAACTAATCTTGATTAATTTTGAATCAGAAATGACTTGCGGTTCAGTGAGGGAGTCACTCAGAACACAGTTTGATTCAAACTACTGATTCATAAACAATCCTGAATGTTCAGTGAATCTTTTTCCCTCACGGATCTAATTTTCGCAGATCAGACATTGCAGCTGAGCACACGCTGTGTTCATTGTTGCGAACAGTACTCTAGCAAGATGATATTGGATGAAACTGCATGTGGATGGTTTCTAGACTATTTTATATTTCATATATCTGTCTCAAGGCATTCTGATACCGTTGTCCTATCTCTCTCCTCATGAATTTCAGTCATATTTTTAGTGTACAACTACTAATAACAATGATATAGGCCCCAAAAAAAAGTTTCACTTGTATAAGAAACACATACTAGCAAACTCGGGACGATTTCTCAGGGATACATAAAGCGATGTGCTCATTTGCTAGATAAAACAAATCAGGCAGCGTTTCAGAGCGTTTTCTCTGGACGATTCACTTACACTATGTGACAGTGATACACGATGCAGGCATTCAGTCATAAATCAGTCCCTACTTGAAGAAAACTCGTGGCTTTCTGGTAAAGTTTTAAGAGATTGCCATATTTCACATGTCTCCTTCATTCTCAAGGGTTTTTCACAACATTTTTATAGTTTCTATCACACTTATAATCCATCATTCCACATTACAACAGAGCTTAAATAACACCCCAAATGCTGAGAGCAGCGTGATATTCTGTGCTATTTTCTTGGTGAAAAATACAGGATGTCAAGCAATGGCATGAGTTTTAAGAGGAATGAAAGACTGGAAAGCAGCTCTATTCTTTCTCAGAAAATGGGTCTGGGCAGGTACTCACTCTTTTGTTAAATGCACCCCTCCTTTCAGGCCGCTGTCGAACAATCCTTTGCCTCTTCCTCCAGCTAAAATCTGAGCTTTCAGGACAATCTCCTTCGCTTCTAAATTATCAAAAGGGATAAAAAGGGTTAGAGCTCCAAAATGCCAAGAAAAAAAAAAAAAAAAAAACTTGCTCCATGCAGACACACTGTGGTGCTTATGTGGCTGATGCAGGATCAAATCTCACCTGCAACAGTCCCAATTCTCCTTTATGTTTTATAGTATCTATTCATAACACCACAACACAATCTCAGCAAACATAAAGATAAACATGCGAGCGAAAAAAAGATATGAGATCGGAAAGAGGTGTTTTCAGATGTAATTTGATTTTAAATATTATGATGATCTCCACAGGCTTGTTTTGATGTGGTATCTTCCAGAGCGGTTAGCAATTTTTTTATTATTTCTTTCATCACGGTAACATCACTGAGATGGAAGCACACGGATGAGGAAATAATAGCTTGTCATGAGACAAACATTTGATCAATATTGTGGCATATGAATTATTTTACCCAATTTTTTGAAAAGGACCATATACCGTTGAGTGATAGCCGAGTGACTGAGATTAAAAGGACCTTAGAGAATTTTATTTTTCATTACTCTATCAAGGTGAGTGATGTATTTATTGTGCTTTATTTATTGTGTGTTGTCTATAATCCAAATTTCACTTACTTTTTCCAAATGTATAGCTGGAAAAACTAAGTCAAATAATATACCAGAACAAATGTGCAATATTCATTAACTAAGACAAATAAATAAATATTTAAATAATAAAAGAATTATTGTGTTCTATTATCCACATATTTTACTTACTTTTTCCAAATGTATAGCTGGAAAAACTAAGTCAAATAAAAAACCAGAACACATCTGCAATATTTATGAACTAAAAACAAACAAATAAACAAATAAATAAATAAATAAATATTTAAATATTTAAACAATAAAATAATTATTGTGTTCTATAATCCACATTTTACTTACTTTTTCCAAATGTATAGCTGGAAAAACTAAGTCCAATAATATACCAGAACAAATCTGCAATATTTTATAACTAAAAACAAATAAATAAATAAATAAATAAAGAAAGAAAGAAATATTTAAATAATAAAGGAATTATTGTGTTCTATAATCCACATATTTTACTTACTTTTTCCAAATGTATAGCTGGAAAAACTAAGTCAAAAAATATAACCGAACACATCTGCAATATGTATTAACTAAAAACAAATAAATAAATAAATATTTAAATAATAAAGGAATTATTGTGTTCAATAATCCACATTTTACTTACTTTTTCCAAATGTATAAGCTGGAAAAACTAAGTCCAATAATATACCAGAACAAATCTGCAATATTTATGAACTAAAAACAAATAAATAAATGAATATTTAAATAATAAAAGAAAATTGTTTACTTGTTTCTAGTGCTTAAACAATTATTAAATTTTATTTACATTTTACTGCAGTAAAATTTCATATTTCATTCAATGTGTTACTTAGAATTTGCAATTTCTGAGTGAAAATTGTTTCTACACCAAATACTTTTCAGTGTAGTGATTAAACTTTAATACAAAAACAATCAATAAAAAACCAACAAAAGCAAGCAAACAAATAAAAAAAAAAGGTGTACTGTATGCTCTGGAATTGTCAAAATATTTTTGTGTCAGAAAACGTACAAGCTTTTCTAGTGTCAAACTTATAAGCAAACATTTTTTGCAAGTTTGCAATTTAGGGTGAGGAGGAGGTTTAAATCTTGTCACATTCCCACAGCATCAAGCAAGACTCATCACCTCAGACAAAAAGAAAAAGAAAGACAAACCAGAGGAATAGATATTTGACAGGTGCTGTAAACCAATAGGGGCACCTGCAAGATGAAAAAGTAGGAGCACTGTGAAAAAGTGTATTATGAATATAGCCTACTTAAATTCAGACTTGAAAAAAGTATGATAACAGCAGTTCAGTCAGTGTAAAAGTACTTTATTTTGATGGTCCCCTTTAGACATTCTGTGTACTGTAAGTAACTTTGCTCATATGTATATGTCAACTACTATCTTTAGAGTATTAATTCAGTCAATCAATTGAGTCTGATTAATATCTGCTAACACATTATTTTGATGCTCCCAGACATTACTGTATACATTTAATTTGTAATATTTTTGACATTTTAATAATAAAAACATTTGCAACAAGGCAGGGAATGATAAAGATAATAGAGAGGAATGATATTCAGGTTTAAATCCACAACAGCACCGTAGCTCAACATGATGGAGCATGTACGCAAAACGCAAGGCCATGGATCCCACATAAGTCATTCTTAAAGAGCCACGCTGCTCTTCATGACCCTCGGGGTGGACATTAAGAGTTCTCACACTTTAGGAGCTGATTAAGACTCACTATCACCACTGGGACTCACACAAACCACAACTCAGCCACTGACTGGAGCGCATGCATAATTTATCACTGCCACACAGAGCTGATAGCATTGATCATGTGTGTGACCGTGAGGGATAAGAACACAGAAGCGGCATAAACAGAGATACAGAACACGCTGGATCACTTCATCTAAACTAAGGGAGATATACCAAAACAACTGAGGAGAGGGCTGGCGAGGGTGAAGATTTAGCAAAAACAGCTCCTGTCCTGATAAGAGATCTGATAGTGTTAGACAAATGTGATGAGCACGGTAGAAATACAGAGATGAGAGTGATATGGAGTGAGTGAGAGAGAGACATTGAGTTGTACATGGACTGAGTGTTCAACAAAAAAAAAAAAGTGGCCAACAGGACTTAAAGGGTTAGTTCACCCAAAAATGAAAATTCGGTCAGTAATTACTCACCCTCATGTTGTTCCAACCTCGTAAGACCTTCGTTCATCTTCAGAACACAAATATTTCTGATGAAATCTGAGAGCTGGATCACTCCTGCATACTAGTCCATACTGTAGGCTTCTTGAGGAATTGAAACTTGCCGGCCTCGAAAAGTTATTAAAGACATCGTTAAAATAGTTCAAGTGACTACAGTGGCTCAATTTTGACTTTATCAAGCCACAAGAATACTTTTTGTGCGCAAAAACGAACAAAAATAACGACTTTATTTCAACTATTCAATTCCTCCTCTTTGCGCCTCTAGTTAATTAACGTAGTCTAAATTGCGTAGAGCTACGTCACACGTAGGCTCACTATTGGCTGACGCTGGTCATGATGCGTGTGACGTACAATAACAGATCATACGCTGTTAAACTAGTAACCTGAGTCGAGGCAGAGAGAGAAGTAAATGAATAGTTGAAATAAAGTCGTTATTTTTGTTGTTTTTTGCGCGAGAAAAAGTTCTTGTCGTTTGATAAACTTAAGATTGAGCCCCTATAGTTACTTGGACTATTTTAACGATGTGTTTAATAACTTTTCAAGGCCGGCAAGTTTCAATTCCTGAAGAAAGAGAAGTGATCCAGCTCTCAGATTTAATCAAAAATATCTTAATGAACGAAGGTCTTACGGGGTTGGAACAACATGAGGGTGAGTAAATACTGACAGAATTTTCATTTTTGGGTGAACTAACCCTTTAAGATGCATTTACGGCATTTACGACACCTGTACCGAGCTGTAGTGCAACGTACATTCTATGACAAGAAAAAAACAGGTATGCTTGAGCATTCTGTCCTTTTTAGGTCACATTTTATGGCATTGTAGCCTGGCTGCACCCTCCTACGCACTTCCGCTCAATTTCATTTTCCTTCAGTACTACGTCTGGGACTGCTGTGTATCCTTAGGTTTCCAGAAATCTATTTTTTGTAGGACCAATCAGCGAATAGAGGGGAGTGGCTGAGAACGATGACGTTGATGTACGGTAGCATGTCAGTTTGAGTTCAGTAATGGCAGCGGAGAAAGACGTGAGAAAAGCTATTCGGTCCGTTGTTGGAAACGAAACTGCCGAATATACAGAAATTAAAGCCGTATTGTTATCGTCTCATCTCTTGTTGCACAACGGAAGACCACGTGAAGGAGGCAGAAAGGTTGGAAGTTTGTGCTGGGCAGCTCGACCTGAACGATGACCGTGACATTTTGGACGGACGGTTTAGCCTGGTGTTCGGAAGCCCCGAGTCCTGGCTGCCAAACTATTGTTGAAAATCCGCTCAGGAGTCATTCCCAACAGTAAATTTATTGATTCTTGTGATGAATAGAACATTTTGAGCCCCTTTGTGTACTCGTGCAGGAGGTTTTACATGTTGTAATTATACAAATTGGTAGTGATTTTAAAAAAATAATTGTCAGAAATAAAAATGTGAAAACCCATACTTTGAAGACTATATTTGATTTTCAGTTTTAGATGGCAATGGTTAATTTGTATTGATAAAAAAAAAACTAAATGCCATATAAAAATGTACAAACACATACTTTGAAGACCATAATTAAGGTAATTAAGAAACAATAAGACGTAATATGAAAAATTGTTGTTTATTACACATCTGCAGATAGAGACAGACTGATCATTCACTGCACAGCATTTGCGGCAGATCAGAAAACGACCACAGCGGCGTGTTTGTAATGATTAGACACAGCTTCCACCGTTGAATGAATATATCACTGTCCTTCGTGTCAAATATACATTTCGAATTAATAATTGTTCCTAGATTAACAAAACCTGCAGCTCTCGTTGACTAAAATCCTATTGTAAACATAATCCTCTGATCATTCGGACTTGTTGTTTCCAGCTGTTTCGGCGCGTGACATACGTCACTCTCGACCACACGTTAGCGTTTGACTATGGGAGATTGTGAGTGACTTTGGGCAGATCCAATAGTTTTGAACTTTAATAGTGAACCCGCCTACAAGGAAGTAAACGTTTCTCAATGGAGAGCTAGGCCAGACTCTATGTACAAATGAAATGTACTAGAGTCTGGTTGAACCAGGCTAATGACATTGCATCCGGCTTTTGGTTTCATTTAGATGTCTTTAGTCTCTGTTGCATTCATATTTCGGTCAATCAGTTTGTTTGGAAGAGGACCGAGACCCAACTTTTTAGCAGTCTCGGTTAGCTTTTTGGTGCTCGGATGACAGCGTTCACACT